AAGAATAAAAGAGCTAGAAATCCCTAAACTTCAGTTATAAGATCCTGAGCAAGTGTAGTTTACTTCCTTTAACACTGTTTCCTGAACTATAAATTAGGGAACATACCTATGCCAAATATAAAGTACACACAGTAACAAAAATTTACAAAGAACAGGGGTTTTATGCCAATCCTTAAAGAATTAAGGATAATTAATATTTTATCCTAAAAAATATCATGTGCTCCCACAGAATTCTTTATTTCTCTTAATAGCACTTATTCTGGTTTGTCCATATTACTAACAGACTCTAATCTATTTGAAAAAGACCTGAAATGTCTGAAAAAGACATTCTGTAAACATTTGCTGAATGAATGACTATTAGCATTATACACAATATATTTACCTGACTGGTTAAAATGATTATACTTTCATTTAAAAAAAGTAAAATGCAGATGCTTACTTTAGCTACTGTCTTTTAAAAAATTTTTGGCATAAAATAAATGTTTTTTATAAAAAAAATACAGTATGGAAATGTACTAAGCCTTCAACTTTTAAAAAACTAGAAAAAGACCAAAGTAAATAAAAAATGTATGTATATGGATGAAATTAATAAAGACAAAAGTAAAATTATTGATTCTGAACTCAAAGAAAAATGAAAATGAATAAAATGAAAGTTGGTTCTTAGAAAGTTGAATAAAATATATGAACTTCTAGAAAGCCAAACAAAGAAAAAAATAGCATTAGGATGAAAAAGAAAATTTAAAACTACAAAGAAGACATTAATAAATTTATTAGAATACTGAATGCAACTTTAAATCAATAAATTTTCATGCTAAAAAATTTCTATTTCCAAAATTAACCCAGGGAGAGGTAGAAAAAATTATCAGATTCATAACTATATTAGAAATTCAAATATTTGCTTAAGATCTACCATTAAATAAGCTATCAAGCTTAATGATTTTATGGGCCAGTTGTATACAGCCTACAAACATCAGATAATTTCTATGTGATTCTCATTATTCCATAGCATAAAAAAAGATGAAACACTTCCAATTTATTTTGCAAAAGTGACATAGCATCCAAATTTGAAATGAGAGAAGAAAAAATTATTGAAAATTCTCTCTTGTGAACATAGATTATAAAATCCTGAATAAAATATCAGCAAATCAAAACCTGCAGCACAGCAAATACAGAGTTTGTTATTGTCTGTGGGACATTGGGCAAATTACTTTACTTTTCTGTCTTAGTTCCTTCATCTGTACAGTGGCAATCATAATAGTGTCTACAGCATGAAGTTGTTATAAAAATTAGGTAGGTAAATAGAAAGTCTTTAGAACAGCACGTGGCATGTGGCAAATGCTCAATAAGTGTTAAGTATTATCCCAAGAACAAAAAAGCAAGATAATCCATTGTTATCATTTTAAAGGGGAATATAAAATAAATATAAAATATGCAAATGTGAACATTTGATAATTTTAAGATTTTTTTTTTAGACTAAAACAGATATGAAGGGCAAATATGTATATGTAGGAGATACAAATATGTATCTCCTAAACATGATAAAGAATATTCATCACAAGCTAATAGCACGAATTATACTAAGTGTTAAAATACTGGTCATTCTCATTAAATTAAGTAATAAAAAACAAAGAAGTTCAGCATTAACATGACTTTCCATATTTTAGAGATTACACTAATGGGATAATATAAGACAACAAATATTGAAAGAGACAATGATTTGCAGATATATAGGTAGAAAGTCTAAATACATAAAACTCTATAAGCGTTAATAAGAGATTTTAGTCAATAGGCTGGATTAAAGATGTACCAAAAATCAGAATCTTTTGAGTAGCAATAACAAATTAAAAATTTATAAGAAAAAAAGAGAACCTACTCACAAAAATTATATAAGACCCAGGAATAAACTTAATGAGAATAGTATAAGACTATCCGACAAACTATATAAAATTTCATTGAACATAAAATACACCCTAAATACTTTCTGTTAACGACCTCAGCAGTATCTATATCTCCTCAATCATTTGACCTAGAAACTAGGAATCCCTTCTAGACTCATCCTTCTCCTCACTCCTCACATTCACAGTCACCAAGTTCTGCCTATTTTACCTCATATATTTCTCAAATTGGTCACCTCTATTTCATCTCCACTTCAATTATTCTGGTTATCCTTTGGAAAGACTCTAGCAGATTAGTCTCCCTACTTCTGGTCTTTTTTTTTTTTTATCTTCCTCAAAATTATAGCCTATGCAGCTGCTGGAGTAATCAATCTAAAATACAAACCTGACTAGATCAGGGCCCAGTTTAAAACCAGAGATCACCACTGAATTCAGGATGGAGTCCAACTTCAAGGCTAATAAAAAGCCTTCAGTCATCTGGACCCTGCCTCATCTCTTCCTCCTTTTCTTCTCTCTTTTGAGAGCCTGAAAATATGGCTGTGTTTCTTAAATTAGGATATGCAAGTATCTCTGATTAAAGATGTCAGGACTTCAGCTACAAACATGATACATCTTACTAAACTTACAACATCAATTTTAGTAAAGGTTTTATGAGAATCATTATTTGATATGAAAATGAATACAGAAGAGAATGTAAAATTTGCATGACTGCTTATATTTAAATGCAAAATTTCAAAGAGAGATGCCACTTAAACAGCAGGCAATTTAGAGCCTTACTTAAGGGATGATGATGACACACCTGTCATTATAAATGAAATCACACTACCAAACTCTTATCATTGCATTTGCCAATGACTGTAACTAACACCAATAACTTAATTATGCCAGGCAACAGTTGATTCTTCCTGATTAATTCATTTTATAACTGTCTCTAAGACCTTATATGACCTCATGCTACTACCTCCATCCTTGTTCTCTCTACTCCATCCACCTGGCCTCCTGCTGTTTGTGGCACATTGTCATACACCCACTTCAGGACCTTTCACTGCCATTTCTTCTACCTAGAAACCTTTCTCCCTAGAGGGCCCGGCTCTCTCAACTCCTTGAAGTATTTCCTCAAATGTTGCTTTTCCAATGAGGTGTATCCTGACTTTCTCATTTCCCTTATCAATTACTAACAGTACTCTGGAGCAATAACTCCAGAGCAATAACTGTTCTATATTTCTCCATATATAATTTTCCTTACTTGTTTATTGTTTCCCTACCAGAATATAAGTTCCAAGCCAGTAGGATTTTGTTTTATTCATTAAACCTCTAGTGCCTAGAAAGGTGTCTAGCATGTTTTAGACTCTGAATGAATTATTTATTCAATGGACACTCTTATGAAACAGGTACTACTCTTGGCCAGATTTTTACCTTACGAAGAGACTGAAGCAGTGAGAATTTGCCTAAGGTCACATAGTCAGATTTGAGCTAGGATTTATAAGCAACCTGGTTCCACTCTTTACCATCACTGCATGGTGCCTCTCGTTTATGTGGTGAATTTCAAAAGTACTATCTATTCGGTATGCCTCCCTTACAGTTCCTTGGCAGTAGGGCTGCAGTCCCCAACCCCTCCCCCACCATGGCCCGGCATGGACCTAGGAACGCGGCCCCTCATCATCACCTGAGCTCCCCCGTCCCCATCTGTGGAAAAATTGTCTTCCATGAAACTCAGGAACTGGGCCTCACAGCAGGAGGCGCGCTGCAGGGGAGCAAGCAAAGCTTCATCTGTGTTTACAGCCCTTCCCCATCCCTCGCATCACCGCCTAGGCTCCGCCTCCCCACGCACCCCGTCTGTGGAAAAATTGTCTTCCGTGAAACCGGTTCCTGGTACCAAAAAGGCTAGGGACCAATGCAGTAGGGGATACTTTCTTGTAGTTCCCTGACTGGCAATGCCTAGCCCATGTTATACACTCTGTAGTTGTTTATAAAATGACTGAAAGCATGAATGAATACATTAACTACCCAAAGATTTTTACATGAATGTCTCAATTGGCTAAAACATTTTAACCTTTCAGATTTAATTTTAAAATAATTTTTAATACAAAAGATAAACCCTGCCTTAAAAAAACTTAGTGATGCAAAATTATGTTCTTTGACAATTTCTAATGAACGATGTAATTAAATGGGCATGTACTCTATTCTTACAATTTTCTACAACCTGCATTTTAATGCTTTATTCGACATCAGCACACAGTACGCAGAAAGTTCCAGAACCAGGTACCTGACTGACTTCATCACATACACATACATCTCTGATCAAAAAACTCAAACAGTGCCATTTTCGTAGATATCGAGAATGATAAAACAATCACTTATGCCAAATAGAAAGACACCTTCACTTACAAAAACTGACGCTAATGAGAACACCCTCCGGCGCAATACCTGGCCCAGGAGTCACCCTGAGGTAGCCTTCTAGAATAAGTTTGACAAATACTATCATAACGGCCATAAAATGCCAATGACCGTAGGTTTACTCTGAGAAACAATCATTCCTGGGCAGAAGGGGTGGACGTACGAGAGATTTAAAAAAGAGGCCCCTCCCAGGCCGCCTCAACACCTTAGGGCCCAAAGATTCTCGTCCTCAGATCTCACCGTGTCTAGACTAGGGGGAAGCGACCATTTCTCAGGAAGAGGATGATGCACAAAGGAATAACCGGCCATCCAGCGTGAAGGCCGAGGAAGTACACGAATAGAGCGCACAGATGAATAAGAAGCCCCTTGCGCCTAACCGCCCCTCCACGGGTCGGGCCAGAATAGCGTTTCTCGCGAGATTTCCCGTCTTCACGGGATCTCAAGCTGAAACCTCGCGGCCTCTCAGATAAGGGGGCTCGGAGGGACAGCTCCCAATCCCCTCTACGGACCCACAGAGCACCTCTACCGCAGGCCCACCCCGCCAGTTTCCAGAGTAGTTCCCCAGGGTTCCCAGGGCTTCCGGAGCTCGACCGGAACCGGAAGCTTCTGAGAACGAGGGGGTGGGGCCGAAAATCAAAAAAAGCGCGGCGAAAGTCGGAAGTCCGAACTGGCTGGGTGGTGGTCCTTGGGGGCCTGCGGACGGTCTCGATGGACTCCACCGCCTGCTTGAAGTCCTTGCTCATTACCATCAGTCAGTACAAAGCCGTTAAATCAGAGGCGAACGCTGCTCAGCTTTTGCGGCACTTGGAGGTGAGGCTCTTGGATGCGGGTCGAGATGGGAATGCCCCCTAGTAATTTTTAGTTCACGGTGAGGCACGGGAGTGGCGGTCCCAGCCTGGGAAGGAAAGGACAGCCTATCGCTCCCTCAGCTGTCTTTTCGTTCTGGTAAAAAGCTAGTGAGTGTCAAGGTTCAGCTCCCTGCAGCTAGAGGGATGAGTGCCTACTGCAGGCTCCAGGAAGAGGGAAGGTGGGACAGAAGGTTGGGAAATTTAGGCTGTGTTTTGGGAAGGTCAAGGAGAAAGCTCCGAGCCGTATCTTCTCTTCGTTTGCTATTTGTTTTTATTTTTCCGTTGAAACCAAGCTCTCTCAATAGACAGCGATTCTCGGGGACGGAGATGGTAGGGAGTCATGATTAAAGCTTGTTTTTGCCATTAGGTAGTTTATAGTTCAACCTATTGCTTACTGCTGTTATTTGAACTGGTGTTGAACTCGAACTTGAAAAATATTATCTCAACGATTTTTGATTAAGAAGTAATCTCCCTTACTAGTAAGCGTAATCTTTTTTCTTTACCAAAATATATTGCTCACAGTTTTTTGATCCTAGAATGCTGAATTGCTTTCACTTTTTCTATTAATATTAGTTCTAGTGATTTGCATCTAGATTAGTCTGTTTGTTTTAGGTTCTTAATCTCCTGCCGTCATTTGTTATGCATTCATGGAATTCAAACTAACCTTGACCTTCGTTTAATTAAAAAAAAGATTAAGCTCAATTAAAGCTTATTTTAATTCTCTGTTGAAGCTCTCCTCTGTTAACGTAGAATTGAACATGATTTTAAAATATATTCTCTTTGTTATATTAACCCTGTGGTAAAAGGCTAATGTACCAAAGACTTGTAAAATACTACAGAGAAAATGTAATTTCCAATGATACAACAACATCAGCTTTTATTAAAACCGGAGTCCTTGTTTCCTTGATCTTCACTGGTGTTCCTCTTCTTACTACTTCAGGTGCCCATCTCCTGAGTACATTCGTTTCCTTTTTTTTTATTTGTCCTCGTAAAGATGAGTGAGTGTCAAGGTTCAGCTCCCTGCTGATGATGAGTGCCTACTGCAGGCTCTAGGAAGAGGAAAGGTGGGACAGAAGGTTGGGAAATTTAGCTTCTAAGTTAGGATAGAACGGTAGCTAGTGAATTCCAGAAGCCACAGAATAAGCAAAGCCATGGATTTTATTTAAAAATCAGGAGTTAAGCATTTTAGATACTGATCTGAAACAATTACCTCTCCTAGAATAAACAGGTTATGAATCTGAGTGCAATGTTATTGTGAATTGAGGGAGACTTCAGAGAAATTTGGGACTTGATGCTGTGTTTCTAAACTTTCAAGGGGTTTACAGAAAACTCTTCTACCATTGATACAAAGGTATGAAGAGATTGAGGTTACCACTCCTAAGGACATTTTTTTGTTATTGAGAGATAACATACATACAGTGCATAAAGTGCGTTAATCGTAAATGAAGAGCTTGATAGTTTTTTTTTGTTTTTTGTTTTTTGTTTTTTTGAGATAGAGTCTTGCTTTGTTGCCCTGGCTAGAGTGAGTGCGGTGGCGTCAGCCTAGCTCACAGCAACCTCAAACTCCTGGGCTCAAGCAATTCTTCTGCCTCAGCCTCCCGAGTAGCTGGCATGCACCACCATGCCCGGCTAATTTTTTCTATATATTTTTAGTTGTTCAGATAATTTCTTTCTATTTTTAGTAGAG